AGTCACTGCTCTTTGACAGCACCATACCCCAAACCTGAATCCCAGAGAAGCTGTGGCTGCCCCAGCCCTGGGAGTGTCCCCGGCCACTTGGAGCACCCTGGGACAGTGGAAGGTGTCCCTGCCCATGGCAGGGGGTGGGACTGGATGGGCTTTAATGTTCCTTCCAACCCAAACCTTTGTGGGATTGTGTGATAATCCCCACAAAACTGTGTATCACAGTCCTGCTGGAGTCCCTGCCAGCAATTTCCTATGGATCTGGGAGAGTGGATGGCACATGATGCTCCTCAGCTCGCCCTGGAGAGCTGGAGTGCAGCATTCCAGCGTGTGTTATCCCTTCATTTCACGAGGCCTATCAAAGCCTGGCACGCTGTAATTACATGGCAAATTAGGGGCCACTCCATGTAACAACACTGTAATTACACACTTGGGACGTGCTTTGGGGAGTTTATGACAGAAAAGTGGATGGAATGGGGCTTTGCTCCCATTTCCCGGGAGCCTCACTCCCTGGACCCAGGTTAAAATCCAGGGATGCCCTTCAGTGGGTGCATCCCCGAAGGACAGGGCCATGGAATTGCCCCCTTTCCACCTCTTTTCATACTTTTGGTATGAAGCTGGTACAAAAAAGCTGGAGCTGGTGGCAGCCAGGTGCAGACAGTCCCTCCTCATTCCCCATCCTGGCTGGATACCACAGTAATGGGCATTTTGTGAGCGCATAGAAAGGTAATCGCTCCTCTCCAGTCCAATTCTCACCTCCTCCGCAGGCAATCACCTCCTGCGACAGCAGCCCTGAGGAGCCCAAAGCCCTCGGTTTATTAGAGTCTGATGATTGCAGCCCACACGGAGCATCCCACCCAGCCCAGCTCTCACCTCGGCTGGTAAAAGCAATTCCCGGGTGCAATTCCCTGCATTCCTGAGACCACCTCTCAGTGCTTGTTTCCCCTCCCCAGGCTCTGGAATTCTGTGTGTGCAGCAGGTGAGGGCAGGTAAAGGTTCTCCCAGGAGAGGAACAGGGGACATCCCAAAGCAGAGGGAGATGCTGGTGCTCTCCCGTTGTGTTTTATCCCACATGGAAAGAAAACCTGACCACGCCAGAGCCATCTCTTAACAGCAGCAGGGAAACTGAGACACGAGCGCTGTGCCGGGATAACTCAGGATCGAACCTTCCTTTTGGGTGAGAAGAACATTCCAAGTCCCTGGGCACTTCCATCCCAACCGGCACAGCAAACTGCCCCCCCGGGCTGATCCAGCTGGGACCCTGTTCCATGCACATCTGTAAACACCTGGAAGCCAGGAATGGCTGGAAACTTGTCCTCCCCAGACAAGGCAGAGGGAAGGATGAAGGATCCCATCCTAAAACCATAAAGACACACTCAGACTGTGCCATCTCCCCGCAGTGGAGGAGGGTTTGCATTTGCCAGACGGGTTTTAAACGCGAACTCCCTCATTTGCCTGCAATGAAAGTGAAAGCAAAGGACGAGAGCAAAGCCCGACCTGGCTGTGGGAAGGGGATGCAGGTCCTACATCCAAGAATACACTGCATGGAAGCTGTGCAGGAGCTTCCCTGTGCCCTGCACCACCTCAGCAGGAGAATCAGGGAATGGTTTGGGTTGGAAGGGAAAATCTTGCTTCAGCCCTAATCGACGTTGTCCCAAACTCTAAACAGAGGGAAAAGCTCTTGCCAGATAAAAATACACCCCTGGGATGCCACCCACGCACGGGCTGATGGAAACAACGTGTCCCTGTCCCAGCTGGCCTCGGGGTACGGATGGGAAGAGCTGAAAAGGGATTTCTACACTGCATGTGCTCAGAGCAAATCCTTCCTTCATTCCAGGCAGGAACAAATCCACCACTGCACCCGTAACACACCTCCAGGGAAAGGAAGGGAGAGGGGGCGGATGCAGGATGGGGAGCTCAGCATTCCTGCCTCACCTGGGATGTCCAGCACCACAACCTGGAGTTACAGCCCTTCTCCAGGACCTCGTGGGACGCTCTGGGGCAGCAATTCAGCAGCTTCCTCAGCAAGAAATGAGTGTTTGAGAGTCCCAGTGACTCCCCACAGCTCCCAGGGAGGGCTGGGGAGCTGTTCTCCACTCCGACCACAGCCAGCACACAGAGCTGGGCACGGCTGGAGGAAACAAAGTGATTTGTGGAGGGCAGCGTTCCCCAGCCCCGAGGTGAAGTTCCCCTTGGGGCTGAATTTTGCACGGTTTGGGTTTTTACTGCCTCAAAAAAACCCTGCTGGTGGATCAGCCATATATCTGCAACCAATAGTGATGCTTCCAGCCACTCCATCAGATCCTTATAAAAACATTCATACACATACAATTAAAATATTTGATATTAAAAGAGAAGCCCACACCGTGGGGTTTTGGCTCCTGACCTGCTCATCTCACTCCCTAATTCTTGCTGGTAAGAGCGGCAGGGGCGGGTGGGGGTGGATTTGGAAGCTTTGTACAGCTCCACATCCCTTTCAGGTTATTTTTAAACCCTTTGGACACACTACAAATCCCAGGGAACTTTTGCAGGCAGAGGCTGCCTGCACGTGTGGGCTGGAGCAGGGGTTGGTTTCAGGGGGGTGGGAGGGGGATGGACTGTGCAGAGATGCAGTTTTATGGGGCATCAAGCACCTGGCACATTAAACATCCTGCCCAATTGAAAACCTGTGGCTGCAAGGACTCTTAACCTAAGGTTAACCCTATGGGTACCGTGAGGCACAGCTGTCTTGCTTGAAGGAACAAGGGGGCTGGACCCCTTCTCAGCGAGGCCAAAGCCCATTTTAGAATTTAGAAGGATTTGGTGGCAGATTTGGGGCTGGACAAACCACCAGGGAGCAGATAAGTCCTCCAGGAGCAGAGAAAAGTAACGTCCCCTAAACAGGGCACTGCTGGAGCACAAGCCAGCAGCATCCACACTCCTTCCCTCAACATCCATCCCACCAAACCAGAAAGCTTCAGCATTCTCTAAAAAGTTGGAGGGGAAATGAGGTTAAGCCAGCTAATTGACAGCACTGACCTTTCTGGCTCGCAGCGAGTGCAGCCACCAGAACAGGAGCGGCTGCAGCTCAAGGCAATGGGGACTCAGCTCTTTTTTACCTCTTGGGTTTGTGTTTTTCAGAGCTCTTCCTGACAAGGTTTAAACTGTGGGTCAGCTCTAAGAGCTGTTTGCTGACACAAGCTGCAAAAGAGCTTTTGTGGACAGAAGAAAATGAATTTAAGGCATCGTGAACCAGCAGAGCCCTCCCTGCAGGCACCAGGGAATTCCACTGCTCCAGTGCCCAGACACCCCAACCACACAGAGCCTCTGGAAACGCTCTCCTCCGTGACAGGAGACATGCAAATTTAAACAGATCCTCTAGTCTGGAGTGAAGAGCAAATCCCACACCTCCCCAGCCCTGCCCCAGTGCTCCAGGTGTTTATTCCTAACCCACTTTCCTCCCTCCCAAGCAAACAGATCTGAAGTGCAGGAATGAGTTTTAACCAAAGTTTTAGGAAATGGGCACAAACAGGTCCTCAGCTTCACTGGAGCCCCTCATTGAAGCTGTGTTGGTGCTTTGGAAAACCATCCTCGGCATCCCTATTGCATTTGGAAGCCTGGTCCTTCCCAGCCCACACCTGAGAGCTCAGCTTTGCTCTCAGGGACAGGGAGCACCAAAACAGTCACAGCCAGCAACAGGGTCCTCCCTGCAGTGGGAACATGGATCACAAGGAAGACTCTCTCCCCACCCCAGACACTGTGCAGCTCACGGATGCAGATCCCCAGCTCCGGAGCTCAGTGCTGATCAGCCAAGCTGATGCACCAACATCTATTTAATCTGTGTGCCCCAGTACTCAGCTGTCATTTTATTTCCACATGCAGCCTGAAATCTCATTGCCTGGCAGGAGCTGTGCCTCCTTTCTGGGTTTCCTAGAAACTTCCTACCCGGCAAAGAGACTTTAATTTGATTTTTTCGCTGCACAAAATCCACCAAAGTCCCAGTTGGCGCAGTGTGAACTCCGGTAGGGAGAGATGAAGCAACAGGACCCGTTTCACACAGAAAAAGAAGTTTTTTACCCTTTAGTCCCTCCAAGCTCCATCCTCTACCTCGCCTGGGCAAGACACGGAGCAGCTGAGTGCCTGGGGTCAGCAGGAGTCAGACAGCAGTGTGTGAACAGCAGCCCTTACTATGGGAAAGGCTCGACTCTGAGCACAAACCACAGTCCGCAGCAGCTGAACTTACCGCTACAACACAAAAAAACCCCTTCACGCCTCGCTTCAGTAACATATTGCTTTCTGCCCCCTTCCTCCACCCATTTCTCCAGCTCCAGAGAGGGGGGGCGGAAATCAAAGCAGAGGGTTTTCCTGGTTTAAACGCGCTAAATCCAGAGGAGTTACCGCTGGAGTTGTGTTTCCCCAATACCAGGAGCGCTTGGACCACACAAGACATTTCCAGCGAGGGATGAGGGGAACGTACATCCCGAGGATACGCTCGGGAAAAGGGGGGATGTCCCGGGGAGCGCGTATCTCCTGCCTCGCAGCCGGAGGGGCTTGCCTACATCCCGGCCAGCATGCCAGGAGCATGAGGAAAGGAGGCTGGAGGGGCGGCGGGATGGTTTTTAGGAGAAGGAAGGGGGATGGAAAGTCATAAAAGCGCTCGGAAAGTAAATTCTCCTTGGGCTGCGCGGCAGAGCCCGGGCGGCGCCGCTCGGGAGCGACCTGGGGGTGCGCTCCGAGTGCCCTTCCAGAAGAGACTCCCCCAGAAAACACCACCCCGACCCACGGGGCAAACATCTCCCCACGGGGCAAACATCTCCCCGCGGGGCAAACATCTCCAAGGCGGGCACGACTCCAGCACCGGCCTGCCGCTGAGGGCAGGGGGACAGGAAGGCTGAGGGCGGGGACACGGAGCGGAGAAGGGGACAGGGCTGCGGCAGGGGACAGGGGGCGGGCATGGGGACAGGGCTGCCGGGCAGGCTCGCAGGGCTGCCCGGGCGCGGGGCTCGGAGGGCGGGCAGGGCGCTCACCGGGGGACGGGAAGAGCTCGATGTCCACCTTCTCCGTCTTGATGATGGTCAGATCCACCGCCGCCTTCATGGCTGGGGCATGCGCGTCGGGGGGCGTCGCGCCGGGAGCGGGGGGTCGGCGGCTGAGCCCCGCCAGAGCGCGGAGCGGACGCGCCCGGCAGCGCGGCCTGGCCTGCTTGCCTCCCTCCTCCTCCTCCTCTGTCCTCCTGCTGCTGCCCTGCCGCTGCTGCTTCCTCCTCCCTCCTCCTTCCTTACCGCTTCCGCGCTCTCGCATCGCGTGCCTCGGGCGCGGCTCTCCCCGCTCCGCTCCGGGGGTCCGCGCCGCCGCCCCGGCCGGGCTGAGCCACCGAGGGGAGGGGAAGGATGGGGAGCGGAGGGCGCGGCGGCCCCGACGGTGACAGCGGCGGGAGGGACGCGGCCCGGTCCGCTCCGCTCCCGCCCCGGAGGCGGGCCCGCCCGCCCCGCGGGGAGCGGAGCCGGAGCTGCTGCGGGACATCGGGGGGTCCCGGGGATGCGGGGGGACACAGCGCGTCCAGCGCATCCAGCGACCTCTGCGCGCATCCCTGTGCCCAGGATACGGCGGGAAAAGAGAGTCCGAGCACGAGAAAAGAGCCCGAGGACGGGGAAATGCCGCTGGCCGCAGGCAGCCCTGGGCTGGAGCCGCAGCAGCCTGTCCAAACCGATGGTTCTTGAAACCGGGCCAGTTGTCTTCACCCTGCCTGTCTCGACACGAACCGCTGCCTCTCATGCTCACCCATTCATGCTCCCATCAGCCTGCTCTCATCACCCCGCTCACATCACCCCAGCATTGTCGCATCAGCCCCTCACGTTTCCATCATCCCACTTGGAGTAGCCTGATCCTCTCCCACCCACGAGTGGGGGCACTGCCAGGGCACTGTGTGCGCACATCGTGTGGTGATGGGTTCCCAGGCCTGCTTTGTACAGGTGGGAGGCCAAAGAGGTTTGGGAACTGACTGGATAAAAAGCATCTCAGAGATGCAAGATGAGTATCGTGCCAGTGTGGCACGGACTTAACAGAAGAATGTCGTTTTTCACATGAAATATGTTTTATTGTATTTAGGTAGCACAAACTTCAGACCACAAACGGCAGAGCAGGAGGGAGATTATGACTCACAGATGTCAGCTTACCGGTACAGAGAAAAAAAAATCATTAGCAACCAACTCTTGTGGTTCTCTCACTCCGAAAGTCTGTAACAGCCTCCTGGCAGAGCCCGGACTGCTCTCGTCAGAGCTGGGCTCAAATGAAACGGGCCCACGGGAGCCAGACGTGGGGTTCAAGGTCACTGGCCAAGCCTTGGGATGAACCAAGGTCCTGCTTGCAAACACCCTCGAAACCTGCCAGGGCCTAAGGGATCAGCTGCAGATGCAAAGGCTGCAGCTCCCAGCGCCTGCAGCCCCTGCAGCCCTGCCCTGCTCAGCCCTGCTCAGCCACCCCAGGGCGTATTTATAGAAGGAAAGTTTGTGTAACTGAAAGAAGCTGCGAGGAGGTGCCGGGGCCAGACCTGGAGAGACCCATGGTGGCTGCACCGATGGTGCCAGACCGAGGCAGAGAGTTCAAGACACAGCCAGCAGCAAGGCTGGAGCTGGCAAAGCCAGGCAGGCACTGAGCTCCAGCCCGAAGTTCATCTCCCAGGCACCTCACCCACTGACTACCTCTCACATTTCCAATTTTACAGGCAATCGTATTTTCAATTTACTTGCAAGCTCAGTTCTGGGCAACTTATTCCTGCAGCAGTGGGTCAGCAATTCATGGTGTGACCAATAAATAAACTCCCTCCGCTGGTTCCCCTGGGCTTTGGGGAACCTGAGCCGTGCTCAGGCAGGCACAGGGATTGAAACCTCTGCTGGTGGTTTGAAACCTACCACAGGAATGAACCTGGAAATCCAGAAGTGAAAAGAGAATGGCTGCAGGGATAAAATGTGGTCCCTGTAGGGATAAAATTGCCTCTCCCATCCAGGATAATGTGCTTGCACCTGCCCTTGGTTTGGGTTTCTTTCCTCTCTTCCCTGTACGACAACGATTGAAGGGGGGAACTATAGAGAGGAGATTTAGCAGAACATTTCCAGTTGAAAATCAAAAGGGGATTCAGGAGAAACAGCTGCCTTTCTGTCTGATCTCTGATCCTCTCAGGGCAGGCTGGGGAAAAGAAACCTGATGCACTTATCACAGGCCGACAATCTCCCCTTCCTACCGTCAGCTGGGCTGGGATCCCACGGTGGGAGAGGGGGAGTGAGTGTGTGTGAGAGTGTGTGTGTGTGAATGAGTGTGTGTGTGTGAGTGTGTCAGTGTGTGTGTGTGTGAATGAGTGTGTGTGAGTGTGTGTGTGTGTGAATGAGTGTGTGTGTGTGAGTGTGTGGTGTGTGAGTGTGTCAGTGTGTGTGAGTGTGTGAATGAGTGTGTGAGAGTGTGGCAGTGTGTGTGTGAGTGTGGCAGTGTGTCAGTGTGTGTGTGAGTGTGTGAGAGCAGCCTGAGTGTGTGAATGTCAGTGTGTGTCAGTGTGTCTGTGTGTGTCTGTGTGTGTGAGTGTGTGTTAGTGTGTTAGTGTTTGTCAGTGTGTGTCAGTGTGTCTGTGTGTATGTCAGTGTGTCTGTGCGTGTCTGTGTGTGTGTGTCAGTGTGTGTGTGTCAGTGTGTGTCAGTGTGTGTCAGTGTGTGTGTGTCAGTGTGTGTGTGTCAGTGTGTGTGTGCATGTGTCAGTGTGTGTGTCACCGTGTGTGTCAGTGTGTCAGTGTGTCAGTGTGTCTGTGTGTGTCACCGTGTGTGTCAGTGTATGCATCAGCGTCAGTGTGTGTGTCAGTGTGTGTGTGCATGTGTCAGTGCATGTGTCAGTGCATGTCAGTGTGTCAGTGTGTGTGTGCCAGTGTGGCAGTGCGTGTCACTGTGTGTGTCACTGTGTCAGTGTATGTGTCAGTGCGTGTCAGTGTGTGTGTGTGTCACACACACACACACACACACACACACACACAGGAGCACACTCACACCCACAGACACACCCACACCCGCACACACACCCCCCCGGTGGATAATTCCCTGCCCGGCGCCCGCGCAGTTCCCGCAGCACAGACCAGCGCCCCCAGCCCAAACCGGAGAGGCGGCGCTCGGTGAGGTCCCCGGGACCCGCCCGTTTCTGGGGACATTTGCCGATGCCCCAAGAGGAAGCTCTGCTGAGCAGAGGCAGGCCAGGCATTCAGAGCACCAGCAGAGGCGGCAGCGCTGCCCCCGGGCTGTCACTGCTTTAGCCCTGCTCCCCCGGGCTGTCACTGCTTTAGCCCTGCTCCCCTGTGCTGTCACTGCTTTAGCCCAGCTCCCCCGGGCTGTCACTGCTTTAGCCCTGCTCCCCTGTGCTGTCACTGCTTTAGCCCTGCTCCCCCGGGTCGGTGCTGTCACTGCTTTAGCCCTGCTCCCCCCGGGCTGTCACTGCTTTAGCCCTGCTCCCCCCGTGCTATCACTGCTTTAGCCCTGCTCCCCCGGGTCGATGCTTTTGGCTCGGCCTCTCCGCAAACGTTCCAGTCTCAGGGACTGGCTGAACTCCAGTGCACCTGTACTGGGGCTCCTTCTCTCCTGGACCAGCACAGAGGCTCCAATAAGGATCTTTCTCACAGCTTGTGTGGTTTTTATTAGGAAAGATCCACACGCTCTTGGCATCCCCGCTCAGCTCCGATCCAGCAAAGCCGGTGACACCAAACCACAGGTTGGTGCAGCAGGGCTGTGATGCAGCTTTGAGCTTTGCCTCAGCCCCCCTCGTGCTCCCCCCAAAAATTTCATTTTGCTGGTGCCTTTCATGACAGCCCCTACATGCAGGGAAAGCAGAAACGCTTCCAAAGCAGCACCGGGGGAAAACCCCCCGAAGTGGAGGAAAAGAACGGAGTGGCTGCGGGCAGAGGTTTCCTCCCAGGGCAGCTGCATCTCTCCCTCGAACCCGACTCCGTCCTAACAGCCGCCTTAATTTGTGTTCACTTCAGAGCCTGCGACATGAAAGCCCTGGCTCGGAGCTCCAGCTGAGCCGCTCAATGGCTCAGTGTTCGCACGAGGCATGGAAGGAATCCATTGATTAGTTTCTTCAGCTGGGATGTGACCGTTTGCAGCCCAAGACCTGCCAAACATGACTTTGCCTCAGCAACTGGTTCCTATTTGCTGCTCACAGGCTTTAGAAAAATCTTTCCTCTTCCACGTCCAAGTCTCACCCTCCTTTTCCACTCTGGTTACAACGTTAGTGTCTCCTGAGGCTCTCTCCTGTGGAGGGAGGATGCCGGGCTGAGGAGAACAGCCCTCCTGCCATTAACGTGGCCAAAAGATGGGAGATAACCATCTGCCCTCCCTCCACAATGCAGCCCGGCTGTTTTCCAGCAGTTTTGGGAACAAAGAAAGGATGGCCAGTAATGCCACATTGTTCCCAGGGACGCTGACTAACCTTGAGTTAAAAGAATAATAATTATTATTCCTTTAGCACTGAGGAAAGGTGTCACAGAGCCCAGCCTTCCCCGGGACTTCTGGGCTGCTCTTCCACGACCTCTCTCTGAGCTCTTTCCCTTTGCCAGGGTCAAATTCCCCCCTGTCCCAGCCCGGGGCAGCTGCTGGCTGTCCTCAAAATGTTAAGGAGCTGGGACGGCTTCCCCTTTCCCTTGGATTTACCCACTCTCATTCCAGCAGGAATTAGGTGTAACTCTTGCTCTGGAGAAGCTTTTCCAAGCTCCTCTGCTACCAAAACACAGCCACCTCTGGGGTGAAACACAACGGAGCATCCACCCAGCTGTAATGGCCAGGAAATGAAGAACACCATATCCAATTAAAACTGCAGGGGGATATTTATGGCAGAACGTAATTAGCCAAATTGGAGCCTTCCCCAAAACTGCCATGGGATTTTTAATGACCTCGAGCGGCCAGGGATTCGTTTTGATGTTTTGTCAAGTAAACAGTATCCAGAGGGCTTGAGACAAAAATCAGGAGCAAAGGGGAAGGGGGGAAAAGAAAAAAAAAGTGCTCTGCAATTCCAGGGAGAAACGGAGACATGAAAGGATTTATCGTAAGGGGGACATTGTTGGAAAGAGCAGCAGCCACCACTC